TGCTTCAAGCGTGGGTCTACGGACCATTGGAAGCGGGATCATCCGAGACGGAAGAAGAAGTGGAAAAAGATGAAGAATGCCAAAAGTTCAAACGCAACCAATGATGAGGAGCATAACGGGGAAGTCATGGCAAATTCTTCGGGTCTGGGTTCTACTTCAATTTGGATTTCAGATTTCGGATGCTCTTATCATATGTGTTCAAATAAGAGTGTATTTCATACATATAACGAAATGAAGGGTAGTAAGATTCTGTTGGCAGACGAAACAAATTGTGAGGTTTTGGGCCTGGGAGTAGTGAAGATCAAGATGCAAGACGATGTTGAACCTCGGGTTAGAGAGGATATTGCGCTAAGGGGGTTCTTGTTGTAACCAAAGTCATTCCTATTCTTCTGGTAAAATTTCTCGAGGGGATCACCAAAAAGAACTTAGGTACGAGGCCGAACCTCTATAAATCTTTATGTTCTGGTGTGTTTGCTTTACTCTCTTCGTTATGTGTGTGTTTTTTTTCTCAAGGGGTTTGTATATGTGTCGTCACATAGTTCATCAATGACAAGGTCTTGGAGTGTTTCAATAGAATAATTTATTATTGTATCAACATGCCCAATAGGAGTCAACTAATTGTCCAAACCATGTAGCGATATTGTCCCCACCTTAACCATCTAGGTCCAATGCTGGGGTTGGGTTAGGCCAAATGGACTTCTAGGGATGGGGTTTTAACTTAAAAGGCCTCGGTGAAATTAGGAGTGGACCACCTATATTGAAACTGTAGATTATTGTTGTATTGTCTGATGTAAGGCTTAAATATGGCTTGTATCGAGCCACCTACACCAACAATCTCTATCTTGGCGAGATCCAAGCCATGGTAACCTGCCCATTCACAACACTAGCACTTTTCAAGAGTGAGCCCCTACAACTCCACCTCTTTCGACAATGATTTGCTAGAGCCTCTAGGAGCCCTTGCTCCAACTATACCTAGGATTTTCTTGAGCCTTGCTCCACTAGCCTGCTCTACCTTTCTCCACCGGTCAAGGAATTTTTACTTGAGTTGCCTCCTTGAACATGTCAATGGCTTCACCTTGAACCAAGTGCGTATTAGCTTAACCATGCTCTAATACCAATTGTTGTACCAACGAGCCCAATAGGAGTCCAGTACCTGTCCAAACCATGAACTGATATTGTCCCCACCTTAACTACCTAGGTCCAATGCCTAGGTTGGGTTCAGGCCAAAGGGACCTCTAGTTTCGTTTCTTCTTTTTCTTTTTCATAATATGTTTTAATTTTTTTTTTCTATTTTCATTTCCTCTGTATTCGTATGACAAGTAGCAAACTTGAAGAGGAATAGGCTACGATTTGTTTGTTTAATTGTTAATTTGATATGTGTTTCGATTAGATTAATTGATATTGATTTTCACTAGATTAATTATTATTTAGTATGAATTTTAGTTGATCCCACCCTGAATATTGCCCCACCCTTCAAAAATTCCTAGGTCCGCCATTGACAGCACAGACTATTTGTGAGCACACATATTAATCTTGAGGACCGCAAATGCACAGAAAAACATAAAAGATGCAGCCTGGTAATTTCGTGAACCTCAAGGACGTTTTGTGATAGAAAGCCTTGAGTTAAAGTTAAAGAGTGCTACTAGCAACACTTGCTAATTATACAAGAAAACATGCCTTCTGTGACGAAATTATATGTAATGCTAAAAAATTCGTCACATTTATGTTAGATAAGTGAGGAAATTTTACAAATCGTCACATAAGGGTCTTCATGGGATGTAAAAGAAATTTCGCAATCACCGACTTTCCCATGGTAGCACTGTAAAAACGTTTCCCATGGTAGCACTGTAAAAACTTTTAAAAAAAAAAAATCAAAGAGAAGAATTTCATTGAACTTGCATCAACACTTACAATAGAATCAATTGACAAACCGGAGGGCTAAGAGTGGCCTCATTAAAATCTTGCCTTATAAAACCCCCAAAGGAGAAGTCAAAAGAGTACCATAACACCTCCAAATAAACAACATAGGAAAGCAAAAAAACTGTTAAGTATGCATCCTATTGCTACCTAGTACCCGCTCCAGCCAAGGATGGGAAATATCTTCCCAAAAAAAGTGCAAACCTTTCTTCAATCCAAATTGGGCCATTGCATGTGCAGCTCCCATTGCCAGTGCGAGGTTGAAACACCACATTAACCACCTCTCGATCCACCATTAATCTTCTAATATCCACCACCATATTGCCCAAATTACTCCACCACTCCAAAGCTCCCTTAAACATCGCCACTGCTTCTTTGGAATCTATTGCAAGCACAAAACAGGTATAGCATGTAAACCCCATCATTAATAAACCTTCTCTCATTGCCACTAATTCAGTACCTAACACATTCAGCCCAGGTGGCCCAAAAGTAGCGAAACCACAGATGAATCTCCCTTCATTATCTCTACAATAGCCCCCCAAACCTCTCATTTCTCCTTCTCAGTCCAAAGCACCATCATAGTTAGGAATAACGGTATGCAAAGGCGGTCTATCCCATTTGATTTGTTGAGACACCCCAGACAGCCTGGGCCACACCAAACAGGATTTGTAACTTCCATATAACTCCATAGTTCTCTCCACTAAATCTTCTACGTGAGGAACAAAGTTCCCATGCAACATATCATTATGTGTCTGCCATATCTTCCATACACAACAAACAAACCTCTCCAAATCGACCTATGAGCAAGCTCAGCGAACTTCGTACACCTCCAAAACTGCTTGCTAAACTTACAACTCCACAAAGCATGACAAGCATCCTCATAATATTTGCCGAATCTGAAACAAACTTGGGACTGAACCACTTTCCTCTTGTACAAATTAACGACAGTTGGCAAAATGTATGAACACGCCCTCCACACCAGATTCCTAATCTTACTTGGTACCTCAAGCTTCCAAAGTTGCTTCCAATAAGATTATCAAAGTTCTCATCACATTGGGATAAAGCCACCCGATAGCCAGTTTTAACTGAGAACTTACTAGTTTTTTTGAAGTACCAGTATTGGTTGTCACCCAATTGTGCTACTAACCCTAGGGCTATGCTAGCTATTGCCTCTTTATCCTCCCCACTGAAGTGGTTTGTTAGCAAAGCCAAGTTCCAAGCGCAGAGTCAGTGATCAAATCAGCCCCCTTAGCACTCCAATCCAATCCTGCATTAACGCGGTTTAGGAATCCACTTGTCATAAAAAAATCTTGATTAATTTCTCGTTCCCAACTAGCCAAACTAGCCCTAGCTCAATAACCTCCCGTCCCCACAAAATAGATCACCATATCAAAAATGGAGAATGACCCAATGGAGCCCCCATGAGTTCTCCATGTTGAAAATATCAAGCCTTCAGAATCTTTGCCACTAGAGAATTACGTTTCTCCAAAATACGCTATGCCTGTTTCGCTACCAAAGCTTTATTGAAAGCTTCAAAATGCTTAAAACCAATTCCCCCCATAAATTTAGGTTGACAAAGCTTTCGCCACCCCATCTAATGTATGCCTCGTTGATTAGATTTCTCCCACTAAAACTGAGCTATCATAGCTGATAATTCTTTGCACAAGGTTTGCTGCAATTGAAAAACTCCCATTGTATAAGTAGGAAGAGCATGCCCAACTGTCTTGATTAATACTTCCTTTCCTGTCGCTGACAAAAGCTTCATGTTCCAAGTATTTAGCTTGCACCATAAAAGCTCCTAAACATAGTTGAACATTATTTGGGATCTATTCCAAGTACTTAATATAAACAAAGCCCATGCTCATCCGCTTTTTTCTGTACATTTTTGTCGGGTTTTCTTTTTTAATGCCATGAGTAACAATTAAGCAAATATGTCATGAGCCAAATAATAATGTTTTCTTTCAGTAACCTGAAAATTTGTAAGCATCAGATATTGCCTCCAAGACACGTGGTCATAATCTCTTTTTGTTTTTTTTTTTAATACAAAGCAATAGTCTAAACTAAAAGAGGTACAAATTATTCAAAACACACTTCTTCAAAAGTTGGGAGACAAGTTATTCAAGTTATTAATTCCAATTTCTTACTTAGGCATACCAATTTTTTATGCCAAGTTATTCAAGCCCATCATTTTAGGATTCGAACACCCTTTTCTCAAATAACAAAACGTAGTCCTCACAATATGAAATATTTAATTTCAAAACAACTTAGGGGGGTGTATTCAATTAGGATTCTAGAGCGTTTAAAAAGATTTTGTTTAAGTGCCAGGTTTCATAGAACTTGATGGAACTTTATAATTTGTATAGAACTTGATAGACTTTCAGAAGACTTCTGTATAATTTTTTAATAAGCTTTCATAGAACTTGTATTGCTTTTATTCCAGACTTATGTAGACAATATATTTCATTTTATCCCCATCCTTGTCATTTTAAAGAAAGAAACTTGAATTTTTTCAATCAAATTTGTTTTTGTTACCCAAAGCAAAAACAAAAAGTACTTATTTGTGATGGAAGAACATATGCACAGTTCAAAATGAAAAGAATAAGAAGCGAAGTACCTATTTGACCAATGAATGCTGTGTCAACTAGAGAAGCAATTGGATCGGCTGTCAAAGCCAATGTTGCAGGCAACAAACCTGTCCAAAGAAAAGAGAATCCAAGCATTGGTTGTCCAAATTGCAAAAAAAAAATATTTTGAATAATGGCTCTTGCAGGTAAAGACCACATAAATTCTGAACTGGTCTAGCTTGAATAATAAGGTTAGATTAGCTGATGGATAAGAGTAAAAGCTTTGTTGCTTATCAAAAATATATGCCATTGCTTGTCTGCTAAATTCAACAGAACCTTTTAACTATCATTGCGGTCAATGTATATAGTAACATTGTTGTATATAAAAAAGATGAAATAAATTTTTTAACAACATGAAATAAAAAACCAAATCCATAACATCTTTTCCTTCAACAACATGAAATAAAATTATGTTTAACGAAAAGCAAATATTCTGTCGTTCCAAATTATGTATTCAAGTTATCCTTGATTTTCATTGTTGTCATTCTGCCCAGCATCTCTCCACATATCCAAAGCTATACCAACTCTCCATTCATTAGTATTCTGTTGTTGTTGTTTTTGTGTTTGGAAAACTAGTTCAGGATCCCCTTCATTAACCGGTAACGATGAAGATGAAGAAGATTCGTTCTCCAATTTAACAGGAAATTCGTCAGATCTACACTCTTTTCGAAGAAAATTGTGTAGTCCTACACAAGCTAACACTATCTCTGTTTGTGTCCAATATGGGAATGGAGGTGCAGACTTGAAAATTGTAAATTGTGACTTAAATATACCAAATATCCTCTCAATGACATTCCTCAAGGACGAATGACGAAGACTGAACAACTCAACTTCATTTGCAGGTGCACAACCTTGACCACCAAACTCTTGGAGATGATATCGAACACCTCGAAATGGAGCCAAAAATTGGCATCGATTTGAAAATCCACAATCCACTAAGAAAAAATTACTTGATAATAGATTACACATATGTTAGTATCCAATGTATGACCTAATGTAAACTAAAAGAAAAAATTTAAAATTTAAAAATACCTTGTGGCACTTGTAGTACTCTTGAATCGTGAGCTGAGCCCTCCCACCCACTAAGGACATATATGAATTCCAAATCAAAGTTACAAGCTGCTAATACATTTTGTGATATCGTACCGTGATGATTATGATAGCTGCTTACGTCGCGTCCCGTTTCCATTGCTGGAATATGTGTGCCGTCAATAGCTCCGATACAATCCTGAAATAAACCCATAAGTTTAAAAGATGTTATTAAACATAAACAAATTGAATAAAACAAGTTGCACCAGACAACACATTTACCTTAAAGTATGGGTAAAACCTTTCGCTTTCCCTTATTTTAGCTAGTACCGCGGATCCAGGTTTGGCTAGCATCTCCGGTAACACGATGCAGAAAAATCATGGAAAAAGAAAACCCAACAAGGTATTGATCAAAGAAAAAAATAGGGAGCATACCTTCACAGATGGAGGAAGGAAGTTGTTCGTCTTCTGTTGCAAAGAGAAAAGCTAGGGCAAGAGAAAACGTCTGATGAAAGTACTTGGGGGGGAGGTTGGATTTATTATGGTCTTTTTTATTTATAACTCTCCCCTTAAAACCTACGAAAATTTATCACTTAATGAAATCCTTCCAAATATATGACCTTTCGAATACACCTAGATTTGATTCAAGTTTTTTACAATCCTAATTGAATACACCCATATTTGAATGGACTTTTTAAAAGTTCATACAAGTCCGAATTGAATACACCCAGACTTGTAAAACCTGTTTTACAGTTTGTATAAATCCAAATTAAATACACCCGGATTTTTAAAATCTTTTAAAACACTTTATAGTCCTAATTGAATACAACCCCCTTAATCTATAAAGCATTTCACATTGATCATGTGAAAATAACACATTTTCTAATAAGATCAAACCAACAATCTCTTATTTGTACATAAATCTTCGAATTTTGTACGTATGTGAATTCTAGTCAACTAGAATACTAAGGGAAATATTTTAACCCAAGGTGTATGCTCATCACCCTTCTTAATACTTGACATGTGTCCAGAGACGATATAATCATGGTTAACTTTTTACTTTGATTTATGTAACCATGATTATATTTATGGACACGTGTCAAGTGTTGAGAATGATGATGAGCATACACCTTGGATTAAAGTGGTGAGCAAAATGCTCCCCTATTTAAGGTTGGCAAGAGCAAGTTAGTTCAATCAAGAATGAATACTTGGGCGCAAGATCAATTATAAATAATAACTCCCAATCATTGGCATCAAATTATTTTATTTTTTTGGTTGAAAGACTTTAATATTCGAATAGAAATCACAAGATACATAACTGCAGTTTGAATACGAGAATCAAGCCAAATTGGTACATCTTCTAGCCAATACAAATTGGATTCTAAATTTAAAGTATGCTGGGCCAAAGCATGCACAACTTTGTTTGCTTCCCTAAGCCTAAATTGAATATGCAAAATACTAAACAAACACAATTCATCTCTTAATGCTTGCACTAGGGCTGGGCAATCAAACTGGTAACTCGGTCAAACCGCCCAAACCCAAATCAATGGTTTGGGTTAGTTTGGTTTTTTTTTCAATTTTTTTTTGGTCATCGGTATCCAAACCAAACCGAAATATATGATTCGGTGTACAATTTGCAATATTCAAAACCACAGTTTAACCAAACAAAACCGATGGTAATAAAAAAATATTATGTATAATATTATTATAAGAAATATATATATAATACAAAGTTTCAATCTTTTCTTTTTCTTCTCTCTCCATCTCTCCGTTTGTCTTGTCTTCATCAGTCCCTCTCTCCGTTTGTCTTGTCTTCATCAGTCCCTCTCTCTCTCTCTCTCTCTCTATTTTTTTTCCTTCTTCTTATGTCTGTCTTCACTCCCTCTCCCGGTCTTTTTTTTTTTTTTTAAATTTCTTCTTCTTCTTCTCTCTCTTCTTTTTCTCCTCCTCTTCTTCTTCTTCTTCTTCTCCATCTCTCCTTCTTTTTTTCTTCTTCTTCTCCTCTCCATCTCTCCCTCTCTTTTATTTCTTCTCTCTCTCTCTCTCTCTCTCTCTCTCTCTCTCTCTCTCTCTCTCTCTCTCTCTCAGAAATCCAAAAAATCCCAAACCAACCCACCAAGTCTGGTTAACCGAAGTGGTCGGTTTTCATCAATTATGATTTGGTTTCGGTTTCCAATATAGCCAAACCGAAGCCTACGATTCGGTGTTCGTATTGAGCCAAAAACCGAACCAACCCAAACCGAGCCCACCTCTAGCTTTCACTATAAAAGTTTAAATACATAAATTAAAATAGGCTATATTTCTCTCGTACGGAAATTACTTATACCAACACCATCCTTATCTTCTTGTTTTTTATACATAAAAGTAAATTTAGCGAAAGTCACGCGCTACACCGACTACAATACTATTCTAATCACGTTTTAAATACATTAGTAGATATGGTAACGTAGTTCTTTTCTGTGTATGATACACGCATATGAACTCCGAGATTTTCGTTTCCCATTATGACAAAAATGAAATCATTACCTTGTTTTTAGAAAATTATTTCTATATGTAAAAACATACCAATAAATCATGTGTAGTAAAAAATAAAAATAAAGAATAATTTCGGCACAACAAAATATAACTACGTTGAGCATATACATAAGTAATACTTCAACTAATAAAATAAATGATCATTTCTTCGATGTTAATTTGATGTGACAGTGTTTTATTTGTTCCTAACTCATCTCAATTTTAATTTTAGTAGTCAACACATTAAGCTAATTGATGAGTATGGCTGAAATTTGGGAAAACTTTTGGACTCTCATAGTGTTATGTAATTTATTTTTTTCTTTCTTGAAAGGTCTTCTAGTACTTTTGATGAGGCAAAACTGTAAACTCATATTATCTCCCATTTACCAACAAAACAATTGAATGCTAAAATCACTACTGTTACAGCCAACAAGCCACCTTAGCAACAGTTTAATTTGCAGTTTTACCACACTGTCATTGAGGGCAATGTACTAAATTGAAGAAACAAACTACTAAAAGAAGTTTTATGAGTTTTGTAAAGTCATTAACCATAGGCGGTGTGGCCACAGTATAAAATATAGGAGGTGCCCAGACTAATTTCTATTCAATATCTTAAGTGTAGCCTATCTGTTTTGGCTTCTCTCTCTCAATCTCTTTCTCTCCTTCCTGTGTTACTGTTGGAAACTGACTGCATTTTCCGGCATTGACTAACTCGTGAGCCACCCGGCTGCGACTCTGAGTCTCACAGCCGGATTTGTGAGCTAAGCTGCCTGCACTCACATACATTCTACCATCTCTGTAAGCCCTTCACTTAATTCATGCATGTTGACCAAAGCCTCTATTTAATTGTTACATTTTCTTTCATATCAGAAGAAGATTCTCTGAAGATTTAATGATTTGTTTGCCTCATAATCCGAGTCGTTTAAACCAATATTAAATAACTCAATTTGCACAGATTGAGAAGATTACTGTCTATCTATATTCCTGGTCTAGTTTGGCTTCAATTGTCACTCATGTTTCCTTGTTTTCCAGGACACAAGAAATGGCTGGCCTTTAGCTGCTGAGAAACATCTGGTGTAGATGATTTTGAGCATTAATAACAGAGATGCCCTTCTGCTTTTTCCCATCTGAGGGAAAGATCTGTTCTTTAATGTGTATTTAAAATCTTGTGTTGCATGTTGGGTGTGGGAGAGTTAGTTTTGTGAGAAATCAGAAATGTATTTACGCGTTTCGGCACAGTCAGTTCAGGCAATAGGGATAAGCAACAGAGGGGTTTGCTGAAAAATCAGGCATCGCCAATTTTCCGCAAAACTTATCTGCTAGAGGGAGGTCAGAGTGTTATAGATAGGAAGACATCAAAGAAACAGAGAAGTGGAAAGGGACTTTGATAGTTTGTAAATTGTAGGGGCTCAAGAATGAAGTTTGGAGGGAGATTTTCGTTTCCCCAGGATGAAGATCTTCAGTTCGCAAATTCTTGGGTACCAGTGACCCCAGAGAAGGCAATTTCAGTGAAGCCTCATCCAATCCTTGCCAACCCGTACGCAAACAACCCGCAAGGAGCAAATTGGCAGCAACAACAGCAACAACCAACTGGAATTTCAAGTGATCATGTACAAATGGGGGCTACTTACAATGGGATCACTCAAACTGTTAGCCCAACTGAACAGCAGCATGCAAATGGAGGGCATTATGGTTACTCTTATGATGTAAGTCTGGCTGAGAAACCCAAATGGTTGATCTCATCACAGGCTCCTACAGCCCAGGCTCCTTCACGGAATTGCTTTGTAGCGGCGGCTCAAGTTGGAACAACGATCCAATGACACATCTGCTTAATGATCAGGCAGCTTATGTTGCCTCTGAAAACAGGAACCTGAGCACAAGTGTAGACATAGCAGCAAACACAGCTCTAATTCCTAAGTTTCAACCTCATTTGGGCAACCTAGGAAACAGCTCAGGCAGTTTCTTGCTAGCCAATCAAAATTTCAGCAATGGTTCTTATCCTTCAAGTATGGTGATGGGCAGGTCCTTGGCTATGGATTTTCCTTCTCAAGTTGACAACAGTCAGAGATATTCCAATAAACTCTCAAAATTTCTGGAAACCTAACCAACAGGCAGCTAGAGCACGAAAAATAGATGAAATTTCATACCTCACTCGTCCAATTTGGTTGAGAAACGAAGGAGAACGAAGGTGTTGAAGTTCCACGATTTTCCGGCCTGTTTTCTGCGATTTCCGGCGGCTGTCGACGACTCCAGGTGCGGTGCTGGCCGGGGAAGAGAGAGGAGGAGGTGGCGGTTCGATCGAGTCCGGTCTCGTGCGCTGCCGTGGCCGGTGGCCGGAGATTCGAAGAGAGAGAGAGATGCGGCTGAAGAAAAACGAAGGGGAGGGGGAGTCTGTCGCGAGGAGAGAGAGAGAGAAATGAGAGATTAATTCTGGAAAACTGATTTTTATTCCAAATTAATATCTGAAAATTATCAATTAAATCCTCAATGATTTTTCGATCGTAACTTCTTCGTTTCAAGTCCGAATTGAGCCTACCGCGTGTCTACGGACTCGGCTCAGTACAACCTTTCTAAAAACACCACCCAAAGCTCCAAACTCTCTCCGGATAAAAATTGACCTTTTTTGCCCCCACTTCAAGGGTAAAATTGGAAATTCCAAATTTTAATTAAATTAAAACCAATCTTAATAATATTTTGGGTCGGGATGTTACATTCAGTCACAGCAATCGTATGTCTTATGTGACATAGAACTTATTGAAACATTGTGTTAGAAAATTGTCACCGAGGAGACCATTAAGATGCTGAAATTTATAAAATAAAATTTTACGGATCCGAACCCT